GTGAACCCTCTAGTTAGCACCAGTTGAACCCTCTAGTTAGCACCAGTTGAACCCTCCAGTTAGCACCAGTTGAACCCTCTAGTTAGCACCAGTTGAACCCTCTAGTTAGCACCAGTTGAACCCTCTGGTTAGCACCAGTTGAACCCTCTAGTTATCACCAGGTGAACCCTCTAGTTAGCACCAGGTAAACTCCCGAGATGGCATCAGTGTGCTCCCCTCCCCCTCACCTTCCAGACACATGGCCACACACTCCAAAACTGCGTCTTAGACTATGAGAAAACGGAACCTCATAGGGACATATCCAAACATGCTGTATATGCAATGGTACACTGATATACTCAAGCTGTATCTACATTTCACATCTAGTAGCTAAGCAAACAATGTAATGAAAATACTCCATAACCCTCAACGCCCTACCACTGGTGTCTGATAAACAGTTTGTGTTGCCTCTACTCTGTAATCTTTTCACAACACCGCTCGTAGGATAGTTGTGGGGTGCACCATAAACTAGCTGCTCTCCTCGGTAAAATTAAACAAAATTCAGTTTCCCCTCAAACCTCAAAGCATACTCAGCCCTCACCTCTTTCCCCTCACACCTCATAAAATACCATTCCTTCACCCCTCTCTTTCCCCTCACAGTTCATTTCTTACCTCACACCTCACCCTTATCTTTCCCCTCACCCCTCACCCTCGCCCTTCCCCTCACACCTCACCCCTCACCCTCGTCCTTCCCCTCACACCTCACCTTCGTCCTTCCCCTCACACCTCACCCCTCACCCTCGTCCTTCACCTCACACCTCACTCCTAGCTGTCCCTTACCTCTCATCTTCGTCTTTCCCCAGACTCCTATTTGTCCTTACCCCTCATTATTAACTGTCACCTCACCCATCATCTCTCCCCTCACACCTCACCCTCATCTCTCCCCTCACACACCTCAATTTCATCTCTCCCTCACACCTCTCATCTCTCACCCCTCCCTCACCCCAGCCTTACATCTCCCCACACCTCACCCTCATCTCTCCCCTCTCACACCTCAGCCTTAAATTCCCTCACACCCCAGCCCTTTATATCTCCCCTGCACCCCACCCTCATCTCCCCCTCACACCTCAGCCTTAAATCTACCCTCACACCTCAGCCTTACATCTCCCCCCCTCACACCTCCCCTCATCTCTCCCCCTCCTCACCCCCAGCCTTTATCTCTACCCCCACACCCCAGCTTCTTTCCTTATCTCTACCCTCACACCTCAGCCTTAAATCTCCCCCTCACACTTCAGCCTTATATCTCCCCTCGCACCTCAATTCCCATTCCTCCCCTCACACCTCAGCCTTAAATCTCCCCCCACACCTCTCAGCCTTATATCTCCCCTCACACCTCACCCCATCTCTCCCTCACACCTCAGCGCCTTAAATCTCCCCCACACTTCAGCCTTATATCTCCCCTCGCACCCCTGCCCTCATCTCTCCCCCCACACCTCCCCCCCATCTCTCCCCCCACACCTCCCCCCATCTCTCTCCCCTCACACCTCACCCTCATCTCTCCCCTCACACTTCAGCCTTATATCTCCCCTCACACCTCACCCTCATCTCTCCCCTCACACCTCAGCCTTATCTCTACCCTCACACCTCAGCCTTATCTCTACCCTCACACCACTCCTCTCCTCACCTACTATGTATTGCCTCTCTCTTCCCTTCCGTCCTTCTATTTTTAACTTTTCCCTTTTCGTAATATCAATTCCAGTCCTTTATTATCTCCTCCCTCTCTCTGTCTCTCATTCTTCATCCTCCTTCGCTTCTCTCGTTCGTTTTTCACTTCTCATCGGTCTTTTCTCATTTCTCTCTTTCTCTATCTCTCATTCTTCATCCTCCTTTGTTTCTCTCCTTATTTTTTCTCTCTCTCCTCTTCATCATTTTCCTCACTCCTCCTTTTATCTCTTCTTCTACTAATTTTATTATTATTATTATTATTATTATTATTATTATTATTATTATTATTATTATTATTATTATTATTATTAGTAGTAGTAGTAGTAGTAGTAGTAGTAGTAGTAGTAGTACTTGGTGGATGCTTCAAACGCATTCAACATACTTAACCGCAAGGCTGCACTGCACAACATCAAGGTCAAGTGTCCAAGCTTTGCAATGTATGTTGAAAACTCGTATAGGAATCCATCAGACCTCTATATAGTAAACAACAAGGCTCTAAGAGGTGATACCATCTTACAGTCAACCGAGGGAACAACACAGGGGGACCCCGTTGCAATGGCAATGTATGCAATTGGCCTATCAGTGCTCCAACAAGAAATAAAATTTGAAACAACTGGTGTCAAACAAGTGGCGTATGCTGATGACCTTACAGGAGCAGGAAAAGTGGAGGACATCAAAAAGTGGTGGGACTTGGTAACATCGCGAGGTCCACAAATAGGGTACCACCCAAACGCCAACAAGTCCTTCCTCATCGTGAAGCCAGAACATTATGAACGGGCAATGGAGGTTTTTGGCGGAAGTGAGGTCAAAATAACTAAGGTTGGCCAAAGACATCTAGGCGCAGTAATTGGCACTACGGACTTCAAGACCGAGTACGTAGCGGGAAAGGTGAATGAGTGGGCTAGTGAAATCCAAGCTCTGTCTGAGATTTCTAACACAGAGCCGCATGCGGCTTTTGCTGCATTCACCCATGGCGTCAAGCATCGTTGGAACTACCTGATGCGTACTATTCCTGATATCGGACCCCTCCTCCACCCTCTGGAAGAAGCTATCAGTGTCAAGTCATTCCCAAATTAGTGAAACACCCTGACTTAACCCCAGCAGAAAGAGCACTTCTTGCACTTCCATCAAGACTGGGAGGGATGGGACTAACCAATCCAGAGGAGATTGCAGCCACCGAACATCAAAATTCACTTAAGCTCACGGCAGCCCTCACCGACCACATAATAGCCCAGAACACAACAGGGGAGGTGGATACCTGTGAAGTAAACAAGATTCGTAGGTCCATTACGACAGATCGACAGCACTGCCAAAATGATAAGTTGCAGCAACTGTTGCTGCAGGTACCAGAAAATTTGAAAAAAAAAAGTAGCTATAGCGCAGGAGGTGGGCGCCTCGAACTGGTTAACTACGTTACCGATAAGGGCAAATGGTTTCAGTCTTAACAAACAAGAATTTACAGATGCCATTGCTCTAAGGAACGGTTGGCCAGTTGAAGGTTTGCCCTCCCAATGCGCTTGTGGCTCTTCCTATGACGGCGATCACGCCATGGTGTGCAAGAAAGGGGGCTTCATATGCATGAGTCATGACGAGGTAAGGGACCGCACAGCAAATATGTTGAAGGAAATCTGCCGGGATGTCATGGTAGAACCGACCCTCCATCCATTGGATGGTGAGGTCTTCCAACATAGGACTTCAAACACATCTAACGAAGCCCTTGTTGACGTCAGTGCTCGAGGACTCTGGACGCGGGGACAGCAAGCTTTCTTCGACATCAGGATTTTTGATCCCATGGCCGCATGTCACCGTAACCTAGCTCTCGATGCTGCACATAGGAAGAACGAGAACGACAAGAGAAGGGCATATGGGGAGAGAATTCAAAACGTTGATCAAGGCAGCTTCACTCCTCTAGTGTTCACAACCTCTGGTGGGATGGGACCAAGTGCAAGATGCTTCTACACCGGACTCGCGGAGGTGCTATCCGAACAGAAGCAGCAGCCCAGAAGTTATGTTACAGCCTGGATGAGATGTCGACTGTCCTTCTCTCTCCTTCGGTCGGCTTTGCTCTGCCTCAGGGGAACGAGAGCTTCGGCCCCAAAGCAAACAACAGTTGCAGATATTGACTATGAGGCTACAGTCACTGAATGCCGCATAGATCTGAGGCTCAACTAAGTCAATACAGTTAGGATAGCTACTTATGTTTTAGGATATTAATATTAAGGTAATAAAATGGTGGCGAAGGAATGGCTATTGGGGGAGGCTGGAGGCCATTATACATTATTATATTATATAATTATATATATATTAGTAGTAGTAGTAGTATTTTTTATTGTACTATTGTTTTATTATCATCATCATCATCATCATCATCATCATCATCATCATCATCATCTTCTTCTGAGCAATTATATTTTACCTAACCTAACCCCTACATAATATTACCGTAGGACTAATAGGCTGAGTCCAGTTTTTGCCAACAAAATAATTTGACTTTTGCCACAATAAATATCTACCTAAAGCACTACAAAAATCTATGTGTTAACTGTGTAACTCCTTTGAATTAAACAATATAATCTGTAAATACTGTACTATCCTATTTACATTCATTTACAACGGGACACTAACAGTTTACCGTGGTAGGATAATACTGTGATACAAATTTAATCGGCCTGGCTACCCCCCTTTTTCAGTAATTGTCTAGTGGCCAGTTGACGCTTACTGTTAGCCCACACTTTAGCGGAGGTTTTTTTTTTTTTTACATTAATGGTGAGATGTTAAGTTAGATCGGTTTAGTTAGGTTAAGTTAGTTTATTTGGGGGGCCCTTTTAAAAGATGTGGTTGATACCGTAGCCACCGTGATGTTAAATAGAAGTGATACAGTCTTAAAGAATTACTATATATATATATATATATATATATATATATATATATATATATATATATATATATATATATATATATATATATATATATATATATATATATATATATATATTACACAGTACTGTAATATTCTTCTTTGTTTAGTTTATCTTATACGATAATTTGACTAATTACTAGTATATTTCTGGCAATATTTTCACTTTTCACCCCTAACCTTCTCTCTTCCGCCAAACACAAATTATTAACCAATTATTTTCTCTTTACAAAACACCTTCAGTCTTCACCAATATAATTTAATAATGTATAGAGTAAGCTAACTCGTGTTCTACCGCACCACAGAGGCGGGTACGAGAAGCTAGGCGTGGTGGTGGCGGCGTACATGCACTACAGCAACATCTGCGCCTCCACCGACCAGGCCCTCGACAGATATGCCATGAAACGCTTCTTCGATGATAAGATTGGCCAGCTGTACCACCCATCCCAGAAAAGGTGAGACCACGAATGTGTGCGTGAGTGCGTGAGGGAGGGGGACGGGGGAGAATGAGTGCGTGAGTGCATGAGGGAGGAGGAGAGAATGAGTGCATGAGTGTATGAGGGAGGGGGAGAGAGTGAGTGCTTGAGGGAGGGGTGAGAGTGAGTGTGTGTGTGATTAGGTGCGTGAGTGAGAGGGGAGAGTGATTCAGCGAGTGAGCGTGTATGGGTGAATTGGTGTTTGTGTGAAGGAAAGGGAAAGAGTGACTGGTTGAATGAGTGAATTAAAAACCAAGATTCCTGTGAGTGAATGAGTGAATAAAGTATGAGTTATATATAAGACAATTGAGTGTAAATGCTCTTTTGTTTCGTTCATTAATGAGTTTCAATGGTGAGGTATTTTTTGTCATAAATATAATAATAAAGGTGTTTATTGAATGCAAGGTGTCTGATAATTAACTCCTATTGTTTTACCCCAATTTTTTCCTTATAGTATTGATTAATTTCCTTTTTAATATCTATTGTTTAAAACCTTTTTTAATACATAGGGTAATAGTAGATTAATACCTATTTTGGTGACCTATTTTAATACCGTTTGTTTTGTAATAATAGCAGTAGTAATTTATTGTGTTGATAACTATGTAATTACTATTTCTCAAGAGATATTTTGGTACCTAATGTTTATATGATAATTTTTTTATGTCTATTTTGCAATACCTAATTAAAAATCCATTGTTTGAAATAGAGGAAAAAAAAAAAATACTGGACCACCTGAAGATTAGACACCTCTACTTATTCCACCTAACGACTAAACACCTTAACGCTACCCGAAAGAGTTAGGTTAGGTTAAGTTAGATTAGGTTAACGCCAAGATATTTAATCATCACGTGAAATAAACAAGGGTTCCTAATCTTTAGGTGATCAATAACACACTTTAGTTTAGCCATGCAAAATATCTAACGTGAACCTTGTTGCCTCAGATACGTGCAGTACTTCGCCGGGTTACTGTCAGGGGTAATCCGCATCAACTCTAGTCCACTATACCTGCACACGCTTACCATGTACGGCGTCCCACACTTCGAGCCGCGAGGAGGCTGCCATCTATTTATCAAAGTAAGTGTGTGTGTGTGTGTGTGTGTGTGTGTGTGAGTGTGTGTGTGTGTGTGTTTTCCCATTAAGAGACACATAAACTTTTTTTTTGGTACAGTGAGAAAAAGTAGAATAGAATTTTAATATAATTTTTATGTAAATTTGTAATGTTGGTCGTATCTCGTGTAGCTATTGTGAGTTTAAGCCAAGGAACAGACCAGTACTGAAGGAGCCTGTGTTTTGTAAATATAATCTTAGCATGTTGTATATAATTTGAATAAACATGAATATTAAAACACATGTCTGAGTAAAGTGTTTGTGGAAGTATGAAGTGAAGTACAGTATACATTTATGACCATATTGTGTGTATGAAGTGAAGAACAGTATACATTTATGACCACCTTGTTTGAATTTTCTCCTGCAAACACTAAATTGTTTCCTGTGTATATAATCTCATCTGAGAATCTGTAATGGATTGATATACTTTTGTTCTGTTAGTTTATGATTCATGTGGTGGAATTTGATGTGTAGTTCAGAAGAGTTCTCATTGTTGTGTGTCGTCAGCCATGTCTCATACTTGCTTGGCTGAATTTAATTCAAACTTAACACAGAAATGAGATATCCCATACAGGTAGGCGGGTGATCTGTGGTTACCTCCGGGTGTAGTGGCCTCACCTTACCCGCTAAGAGGGCGCCTGGTAGTCCTACATATAATGCCCGGTTCCCTTTCTGTAAAAATACACTGGTGATAGGAAGAACATCCTGCAGTTTAACTTGCTTTAAATTTGCCTTCCGGTAACCCATGCAAGTGTGAAAAATAACTCTTAAACGATGATGATGATGATGATGATGATGATGATGATGATGATGATGATGATGATCTGTGTTCGGGTGGTTTATCTAGTCGATAATATTTGCATAATTTTTTTAGTGTAGAATAGTTTGTATGTAAGGGCTTAGATCATCTACAGAGAACAGTTATTATTGTAGTGCCATTTAGAGAAGCTAATATTCCTCATGTCTACAGATCTACCAAGGGATGACCCCCATCTACACCTCAGGGATCTACAACCTCACAGAGACGATGAGACAAGTGACTATCGTCTTCGAGATGGGTATACAGCTTAGGGGAGACATCCTGCTCAAGGCCTACCACAGGAGACTCATGCCAGCCTCCAGAGAAGTCATCTTTAGAATGCAGTTCCATACATGTGCTGTCTCTGAGAAGATCCTGGCCTTCACCAGAAATGACCTGGATGATGCATGCAATGGTGAGGCTGGTGGCCAAGTCGTTGTCTTCTTGTTTTGTCCTTATTTTAAATATTTTGAGCTGATCTTAACATGATTCTGTATATACACTTTTAAAGATAGGCAAGAGAATTTATATTTTTTTTTTAAGTGCGATAGTTTGTATTTAATTTGGTTTAATTTTGTGCTGTATGTTTCACTAAGTATTTAAACAGAACATATATAATATACATCATGAGGGAGAGTGTGTTTATTAAAGAGAAAGTTTCAGTTTGGAAGATAGTAAAGAAGTACAAGAACGTATCCATGTGTTGTGGTGACGAGGGACTGGACCTCACACACACACACACACACACACACACACACACACACACACACACACACACACACACACACACACAGAGTAGAAACAGTGAAAACAGAAAGTATTGGTCATTTCATCTGTAAATACAATACGTGAGAGTTTCCGTCTGTTGTTGTAGCGTCAGGGGAGTTAACTTGAACCAGTGTGTGTGTCTGTGCTGTATTAGTCTGTCTCCATACATCAGTCAGACTAAGAGACTCTTTTAACACCATAAATAATGAACAAAACTTCCTATTAGTTTAACAGTTAAACCAATAAACCAATTAATAAAACCACAGCATGATGAAATAATGTTACGTGAAACTAATAAAGGTTCTCTTCTGCCTTGTAAGAGAAACTACAAAATACAAATAAAATAGTTTGTATAAATGTAAAATAAGAATTATATAGAGATCAAATGGGTCCTCGATATGTGGGACAAATAGTCACGTAGGCTGGACAATGAATGTGGCCTGAGGATCATTGTGTAGGGGAGGAAGGTCATGTATCACTGGGGACTGAAGCTGACTGATGATCTATTACCAAGACAGTAACTCAATGCTGTACTGTATACCAGCTGAGTGGAGACTTCACATTGTACTCATACACATAACACGGATCACCTGAAGATTAGGCACCCTACATAGGTGGGTTAGACTAAGCTACGATAGGAGAGGTTAGGTTAGCTTTTGGGTGATTAATCTTAAGGCAAAATAATCTGGGATGCCTATTCTTCAGGTGATCCCATAGTATAATAGTAGGTCCCATATCATGCAGTTTTATGGTAAAAAAAATCACATTCTCAAAGTTTTCCCCTCTGTTAATGTCTCTCTCTCTCTCTCTCTCTCTCTCTCTCTCTCTCTCTCTCTCTCTCTCTCTCTCTCTCTCTCTCTCTCTCTCCTCATACATGCAGTCTTTTCACTCTTATTGCTATGACAGATTCGTTGGCTGCATGTACCCCCACCGAAAAGGACACTACCATTAGGAAAGAAAAATTTGTAAAAAAAAAATGGATTTTTATAACAGGACATGGCACTGAGGGGGGGGAGGGGGTGAGGGGGGGATTAGTTGGAGGTGTGGAGGGTTAAAGAGGGCCGAGTTTTTAACGAATATATTAAAACCTGGGAGGGATTAGGTTTTTGTTATATAAAAGGGCCGGTGTGGTGGTATAGGAATGTAGGAGGATCAACAAAGGAGTTATTTAAGTGAGGTGAGCGGAAGTAAGTGTTGAGAGAGAGAGAGAGAGAGAGAGAGAGAGAGAGAGAGAGAGAACAAAGACTTAAATGGAAGGGGCAGTGTTTCTCTCTCTCTCTCTCTCTCTCTCTCTTTCTCTCTCAGATGCATATATTATTGTGAGTTATATATGAAGCCTATAGAGGAACGTGAATTATATAAGAAGAGCATAGACTCGTGTGGATTATATAGAAATAAATATAGTGTATAACAGTGAGCTATACAGTATAGACTCGTCTGAGCTATATAGTGACAAAAAGGAGTGGGAACTATTCTTTGGGTATTTTGCAAGTGTTATGTTATTGTGGGTAGAATAACATGCTATCCTATGTATTTTAAACTTGCTATCATATACAAGTGAACTGTACCATTCAATTTAAAAATGCTAGAACTGATTATTTCCAGCACTAACCTATATAACTTACGTGGATACCTGGGGCTCGATATCATCTACTGTTCTGTACAGTATTAGCTAAACAAGGTATCATGGATTAAATAGATAGATATCCTGGACTAGCTCTCCTATAATACTTAAAACAGATATAAAGGGAGACGAGACGTGCTACTCCCCGAGGGTAGAGTCGAGAAATGTCAAGGTTGCAAAATTTACGGTGGAAAAACTTTAATATTATGCGACTTTTTTAATACAAGTTCTCATGGCTGAAGGAATTTTAAGGCAGGTGTTTTTGACTTAGTTATGGAGGGTCACTTATTAAGGTTACTTTAGTTGGGGTGTTTTTATTGATTTAATTATTTATTTATTCATTTGTAAGAAAAAATGTTGCTTGTTGTAAAAGGTGGAAGAAAGGGCCTGTCTCTCTCTGTAAATTATCCAAGAAAATGTTCCACTTCATGTTACACAGGTATATAGTGTACAATGCTTCACACTGAACCTAACCTAACCTAGCCTAGCCTAGCCTAACCTAACCACTAATTAATATTATTAGTAGTAGCATTATAGACACGAAAGAGATTCCAACAATAATTCCTTCCCAATTATTATACAGTACATGACAGTTTTAAGCTAATCAAGTATCCTTAAGTGTTAGTATTGAATTAATTATATTCATTTATACTCAACAATAAAAAATTCGCTTAAGATTTTAATTTCATTAGACAAAAGTTTCAGTGTCTATTATTGTACCGTTGTTAATTAAGGAATTTGTCAAATATTTCACACACAACCCGTAGAGTTTACCAGTGTCAGGGTGAAGTGTTGGAGACGGCTCATGGCTGACGTGTTCTGGAGAGAGGGAGAGACAGACGGACACACAGAGAACGACACACACACACATACGCGCGTGCAAGCAGAAATACAGACAGACAGATAGATAGACGGACGGGCACACACACACACACACACACACACAGACACACACACACAAATGCAGAGAGAGAGAGAGAGAGAGAGCATTCCAGAAACTGAAATATACTGAAGTTTAATTATATGCATTCATCTGTACTGTACTCTCTTCTGAAACAGATCTCATATATGTGTATGCTTGAATGTATGTCTGCATGTATATGTAAGGCTCCGTTTGTGAAATTGCTCAGTTCATAAACTGGGCAGTCATTTTGTCCAGTTCTTGAAATGGGTTCCCACCCTAAACCACCTCGACCTAACCTAACCTAACTCGACCCGACCGTACCCAGCCTAGCCTAACCCAACCTAACTTAAGCCATCTTAACCTAAGGTATATTAAGAGCACATTGAACAGCTAGGGAAATTACCTCACCTAACTCAACCTATCCTAACCAAACCTACATAACTTTGATTAGATAGGTTACGCTAGGAAAGGGTGGATTGGGTTAGGTTAGGTTAGGTTAGGTTAGGTTGGTTTATGTTGGGTTGGGAAGCCATTTCACAAAATGAGCAAAATTACTGCCCAGTTCATGAAGTGGACGATTTCACAAAAGGGACGCAACATATGTATGTATGTATGTATGTATGTATGTATGTATGTATAAAGTTCTAGGTACATACTTTATCCTAATGTTACATTGACAATTTATCTTATTGAAAAATACACAATAATTCGTAACGCATTGTCACATACATATATAGTTTGTGTGAGTCAATTACTACGCTGTGCACTTTTTAAACTGGTCTTTGTAAGTTATTAAAATGTACTAATTGACTGAGTATTGTACTACCACACGTGTAGTGTGTGTAAACTGTCGCTGTACGCACACACATACACACACACATATATATATATATATATATATATATATATATATATATATATATATATATATATATATATATATTATATATATATATATATATATATATATATATATATATATATATATATATATATTTATTTATATTTATATTTCATGTAAATCCACAATGAAAACGTGGAAAAGATAAATCTTGATAAAATCACATATATTATATATATATATATATATATATATATATATATATATATATATATATATATATATATATATATATATATATATTGTGAAGCTGTTCATTGCAGCAGTCATTTTACCAAGTCAGAAAAGGTCAAAGGTCAAGTTAAAATTCCTCCCCTGAACAGTGTGTACTGTATGTATGTATGTATGTATGTATGTATGTATGTATGCTTTGTGTGTGTATGTGTGTTAATAATAATAATAATAATAATAATAATAATAATAATAATAGTGATAATGATATTGAAATGTTGATTCTTAAACAGTTTATTTAACCAGAAAAATATAGATACAGAGTCGATAATAATAACATTATTGACTTGGCTGAGCCAGTTGAGAGCCTGAGCTCTACTGTAGGCACCTGATATATACTGTCCATTTATCTCAAGGAAGTATTATGTAACATTTAGTATCATCTGGAATAGTACACATAACATGGTGGTAATAAGAACATATCAGAATGTTACCACGATTATCACTTCAATATTTATTTGTTTTATTTATTTTATTATCTTTTTTTACATATATATATTATAAGTATATACATATTTTACAGTGGAGTTGATATACATAAATACGATGAGGGAGGGAAGCAATATAACATGGGTTTTATTAAGGTGAAACAAGAGGACAGAAGCTGTCAGTATCATGTCTTGTCGGATTTATATAATTATTGCAATGGTAATTTCCATCTATCCACATGGCAATTTCTGATGTAATGGATTTGGTGGTACAATAAAAGTAGGTATATATTAATTCTTAGACAATATATATTTTTTTAAGAGATGATCTAAAGGGAGGGAGTGTAGTCTTTTCTCGGATGGGTGGGGGTAAGTTGTTCCACACCTTCACACCATGATATTTTATGGAGGTCCGGGACTGAGAGGAGCGCAGCATGGGGGGTGGTCTCAGTAGCTCTTGGTGCCTTAAGTTGTATCTCTGATTATTCCGGAACTGGAAATAATTATTTTCAATCAAGTGATTCACGGGTTTTTGTTAATATCCTCGATTTTTAACATT